GCAGTGATGGGGCCACAGTCTTATCTACTGAGGGATTATGAGGAACTGTGGGAAAAGGAGCTGACTGATGATGTGGAAAATATTCTCAAGTGAGTCTTGATTGTTTATTGTAGCTGTATTACTTGTCTTTTGTAATGCTGCCTGATTTATTGACTGACTGACTGACTGACTGACTGACTGACTGACTGACTGACTGACTGCGTGATTGACTCACTGGCTGACCGGCTGACTGACTGACTGACGGACTGACTGACTGACTGACTGCATGACTGACTGACCAATTACCTTATACTTGACTACCTGACTGACTGACCAATTGCCTGATATTTGACTAACTGACTGACTGACTTACTGCCTGATTAACTGACTGACTTACTGCCTGTATGTCTGACTGACTGACTGACTGAGAGACATCTCAGACAGACAGACCAACAGAACTGAACTGAGACTTAATTTAATCTCAGAATTCCATCAAGAAAATTGTTTTCATGAAAGCCAAGTAAAAATTATATTTTAGTATTAAATATGCATAGGTACTGTAAGCTATATAAATCTCACTGGTATTTGGAATCTTCATTTGTTGTGTTTAGGAATGGTGGAGGAATTGGCAGTGGAGACATACGAAAAATGGCATACTTTGAGTCATCAATTGATCCTTCAGTCACAAGAGAGCGGGTATCTAATAAAATGAGCCTCTTTCACTTACCACGAGGCAACTATGAGTGAACCAGTGAAAACATGTAGAACAAACTTCTAGCATTCAACAGTGTTGTTCATTCAAATTGGTATGACTATGATAAGCATATTCGTTAAACAATGTGTTAATCTCCCCCAAATAACTGCTGCAACAATTATTTTGAATACTGTTTTGTTGTAATTTTTGTTGCGACATTTCTCTAACAATATATATTACATAACTATATTATTTTGTTGAATGTTAAATGCATTAGGGCCGAGACAAGACAAGAGTGATTGTGTACCGTTGCCCAGGAAACACTGCTGTGCAGGTAACTTGCCTTGTGGTATCCATAGCAATGTCAATAGATCGTTTAACAAAAGCTTAATTGGCATTATTGTTAAAAAATTTTGAATACTAGTTACCGGTTATTAATATAATCTCATGAACATGTAATAGTTGAGGTCTGTCTGTTTAGCAGTAATGTTTGTGCTCTCCTCAGGTTTATGATTACTTAAGGAAGACTGCCAGGGTGATCTTTGGACCAGATCTTGTAAGTAAATAACTGGATTATTTTCTTTGGAAACATCACGGTTTTTGCATGTGTTAGACTTATTTCATTCATACGTTCTTGAACTTAATAAAACCCTCAAATATAACACAGGGCAACATTTATTGCCTACATCATTTTTGGTTATGGAAATGAGAGTAATGAAGTCCTAAGTTAAGAGATATTGTCTTAATGTACGATCAAATTCTTAGAACGTACTCAGAAAAGAGTACATTGCCAACAGTATCTTTGAGCTAAAAGAGTGCAAAACACCTCCTGGATAGTTCTACAGAAGTTGAAGTGATTGTGTACTTTGTTATTTTCAAGGTTGTGCTTGGACCGCATGAGAACTTCAATGTGCTCAGTTTGAGTGGTGAGTAGAATAAATGTCTTTACAGGTTTTCTTCAGGTAATGTGATGGTGGGGTGTTGTGTGACAATGGAGAGGTGTTGTGTGACAATGAATAGGTGTTATGTGACAATGGATAGGTGTTGTGTGACAACATAAATAACTTAATGTGTTAACAAACATGATTTGGTTTACTGCTACAGATGAGCACCCATTGTCCAATAAGAGAATAGCACATGTCCCACAAAGTTTTGACTTCATCCTGTCATTACTAAGATCCTATCCCATTATATTACATGCTAAAAGCAAAATCTCTAATTGAACTCAAGACAGGTGATTTTTGAACGAAAAAAGTTACCAGTAAGAAACAAAATCAGGATTACTGATGCAGAAGCCTTGTGTGCCATGCTTGGCCAGTTTTTTCTTTTTTTAATGTCAATTGACAAACATCTCTTTTATTTTATATGTCAGCTGGGAAACCAAAAAAACCACATGCTTTGAAAACAATATGTCTGATGCTTGGGCCAGATTTCATCACGGATATTATCGAGGTAGGAATGTCCAGGCTTTTTCCTCGGAGGGGGTGCACCACTAAGGAATGGTGTAACTGACCGGTAAGGTAAACAAATTTTAAAAGCCAATAGGAAGAAGAAGGCTTCATCTCAGGGGTGGTGGGTGCACCTCCTGCACCCTGCCCCTAGATCCACACCTGTGTCTGTAATCATCTTTGTGTTGGTTTTGACAATGGTAACCAGTTAGAATCACACCTATATGAATTTTTATCACCTCATGTTGAAACTTGTTTATTTTGCACCAGGTGGAAACATCTGACCACGCCCGGTTGAAGATCAAGATTGCAATGAACAACGTTTTTGAGGTCAGTCTTGTAGACAACTATTAAATACTGGGCATAGACTCCTGTTGATTTTTTTATTCCATGGAATAGCCAATAGTTGTTTAAATAACATTTCTGATGTGTTGTCTTTTCAAGTACACTCTGGTTAATTCTGATTGCAAGTAACTGTCTCCCAAAACTGGAACCTGACAGACCATATTTCCCAAAGGAATTAATTTACATTCTCAATGTTTCTGTTATTTATATATTCAGGTTGAAAGAGGAAATCATGAATCAGAGCAAGCCATCTTCTCTGTTCCAGATTACACTGGAAATGCCTGCAAGAGTGTTGGTATGGTACATCTTGTAAAACTATCTCATGTGAACCCTTTACTAATCAGCTTCAAATTTCTGCTGGTTGGTGGTTTTTGGCTAATGACAATTCTATCTTCCTATTTCATTGAAAAGAGCGTGTTAAGGGGGCAGTGTGCATATTTCCTTGAATAACCAGATTGGATGCTTTTAATGTTTGTAACTTGGAATCTGAAACCGAACAATCATAGTTTGATTCTGTAAAAAAAAGTACTCAAGAAATGATGAGGAGCTGTTAGGTAGAAATGGTCAGATTCATTTGAAACTTCGCTCCAATATTGTTGCAAATCTTGCCTGTGTTTGGGATACTCAGATAAATGTGGCATTTGTTGCGTGCAGTTGTGAGGAAAGACTGATTTTTACAGCTATAATCAATATTTTGAGTTGTAACGTAAAAGTATCTATCGTGCTTCTGTTGATCTTATTGCGGCCCTGTGAAGGTGTCTATCTACTTTGAGGCGGGACATTTCGTGTCTGCTCACTCGAAGTACTGTCCTTCTAATATTTTTAGCCAGCCGGATACGTGGTAAAGTAGCACAAGTTCCTTTTGATGAGTTCCATCGTTACTCCACGTCCATTATAAAGAAGGCTGTGTTTGGCGTGGACAAGGATGGGAACGTTAAGCAACGGCTTAGATTTGATGCAAACCAATTGGTAAGGAAATCAGTTTTTTTCCTCGGAAGTTTCTGTTATTTCCTCGAGCTTTCTCTGAAACGGTTGGGGTGATATCTTTAGCCCAGAGGGCACCTTTATCGAAAAACTAACATTATTACAAAGCTTGGTGAAACAACAAGCCAGTTTTGTTATAAGGGGAACTTGACGTTTTGTATGATCTTAAAAAAAAACCATTTTCGAATCAAGTTTCCTAACAATACACAGTGAAAGACTTGTTTTGTAGGCTTGACTAACATGCAAACGAACTGGTCAAATAATTTCTTTGCAAACGCAAGGAACCCTTGTAATGGAAACATTGTTTCCGGACCGTTTCTTTCCTGTTTCTACGTATTTGTTGCGGAAGCAAATTTTCAGTCTTTCTTAGAGGCAAAAAATGTTTCTGATTGTGCTTTTCAGAACAATTTTGCTTCCGCAGTAAACGCTTCCGCATTTGTCCGCGTGGAAAAAAATTCGGGAAGGAATATTTTTGATCATACAATCCTGTGTAAACAAGGAAGTAATGGTGCAGAGGACATGTTGCGGAAACAAAGTTTGCTTCTCGAAAACTAGAAACTGTTTTTGCTTCGGGTCAAACTTTGGCCTGAACGACGCCTAGTCAAAAATGAATTCATATTTTACCAGCGAAATTTGAAATTGTCTACATTTCTTTGCCGTCCCTCTGCAAAACAAGAACGTGAAATGACTAGGTTCTACGTAGTCTGAGGAACGCAAACGACGACGGCTAATTTTTCCTCTTTCCATCTGGATTTGAACGCTGTCATTGAATAGTTAACCTGAGCACGTTTTTAGAGCCATTGACGTATTGAACAGATCTAGACGGTTGCGAATTTCGCTGGTAAAATATAAATTCATTTTTTACTAGGCCTCGTCCTCATCGCCGTTGCTTACATGTAGGTTTCCACGGAGTACGTCTCATTAAAATGTTTCCCAGCAACGGGTAGTGTAGCACGTGCAATTATTGTAAAGGAAATGGATGAACGACGAGGTCGGGCAGGTCATGGTAAAAGAAAGTTGGAGACAAGAACTTGCGTTACGAACTGTTAAATCCATGCTTATAGTGATTACGATGAAGAAGAGTGAGCGATTGGTAGTTGCGAATCTAAGTTCACTGTTCCTTTTTGGATGGTTTTTTTTTCTTTTTTAGGTGGTAACTAACGTGGATATTCAGAGTATTGAACCTGTGGACCTACACATGAGTGAAAGTCTGAGTAAATCTGTCCAAATGGCAATTGAGATTTCCACCAAGTAAGGTGACTCTACCTCTACGCGGGAAAGTACTTGTTATTGCTATAAAAAGATCTTTATAAAGTTCTGCAGGAGACACACACAGAAAGATTGGAGATAGCTTGCAATAGGGGCGGTAGGGGTTTGGGGGCGAGAGAGGGGGGCAGGGGGGAGCTCAATTCGGCCTCTTTAGCCACTAGGCTTTTCCTGAAAGTACTTCACAAAGGTCCACAAATCGATAACGCCTATTAGAAATATCAGCTTAGTCCTGTCCACATATTTAACTCTCCATTTTATATTTGTAGTTAACGTACAATTTTTCAGTCTGCTGTCAATAGAGTACACGAGAGATTTAGCTGACTATACGTACAAGAGTAGTGAGTGGCTGACAATCGAGAACCCCTCGTAGTTTTTGTTTAGGCTAAATTAAGTGCCAAGTGTAACAAATCAATTCTCGTTATTGGCCGTTGTGTGTTTCTTTTAATATTGTTCTTTTAGCGAAGTATCTTCACTGTGAAAAGAAATCAGATGTTGATTGATTTATCACGTCAGGTCCATTGAGCGAGCGGCAGAACACGAAGCAAAGAGAACAGAGCAAATGGCCAAAGGAATGTTAGAAAGACAGAAACTCACGAACGAGAAGGTTAGTATACTGCCCAACAATTTGAATCAATAAATCAAAAATAATAAAGTGGCTTGTTTCGCCATAAGGCCGACATACGTCAAAGAGAAAACTAAAGTAATTACCTAAGTGGCTCTCGTAAGTCGTTTTATTCTGTATGTTTCAACACCGCGTGCCGTTAACACAGGGTGAAGTTCGACTTTGTTACTTAGGACATGATAGGGGTTGTGGGGGAGAGAACATTTCCCTAAGGAAGCGATCCTGGGGAAGAGGGTGGATTTACGAGCGATTTCCCAGGTTTATTTTGCCTCTCTTGAAGACTAGTGAGTTAGGTAACACTTTTTATTTTTAGGAAGCAGAGAATGCGCGAGTGAAGTTATTTGAACTCAGAGCTGTGACAGCTGCGGTGGAGTCCTCTGGACAAACAAAAGCAGAAGCACAGGTCAGTTTCTCATTTATATTTCACATGTTGTGTTTCTCATTTTGTCCGCCTTTTTGTTGACTTTCTCATTTGCTGCTCAGGGATTTTACATTTACTTTCATTGTATTTTAACAGGCCCAAGCTGAACGGTTGCTGATCGAAGGCGAAAGTGCAATAGAAGGTAACTTCAGTTTGTCAGTTATATTGTATTGATTGGTGAAATATGATTTTTACATATACGTCATAATCATCAAGAAGAGGTAAAGGCCCGCTAGCTCTTTGGCACTGACGTGAGGTTTTCTTTCTTTCAGTTGCAAAGTTGAAAGCGGAAGCTGAGCAGGTTCAACTTATTGCTGAGTTAGAATCAAAAAGACTGGTAAGATATAAAAGAAACGCGTTCACGGAACAACTGTGATACTGGTGATATCGATGAAGGTGAATGTCACCCAGGATCTAAGTTTCTATTCAAACCATTTTTCAGTCCTTTTTTGTGTACAAACTTTCGTGTTCAACCACTGCATGATGCCCGCATCGATTAAAGTATGAACTTGCCCCTCAAACCTCCCTGCCACCCACACCCCGCCACCACATTTTGAGAGACAACTGGGTTGCAGTCTACATGGGTCATTTTCTGTTGGATAACTTTTCACCTTCAGTTTTTCTGAAACCCTTCTTCAGAGAAAAGAAAGGAAGAAGAGAAAAACTAGAGCAACTTTGTTGAAATTAGATCGTTGATGCTGTGAGAAGCTGAAATGCTGAGTAGAGAGATGAATTGTTGTTATACGTAAATTCGGGCTTTCTTTTAAACAGAGACAGGGTTTGGAGAAACATCCACGTGGGGTTGAAAACGCAATTATGTTACAAAGATAGGAATGTCGAGCCATCTCTTACAAGTAAGGGCGTTCAGCTCATTATTTAGCTTTTGTAGCTTTACAAAACCACAACAAATAACAACAGCACCACTTAAACACACACTTCTCATTCACTAATGGACGGGAAAAGAGTTCAGTATCTGTTTATACACAGAAAACGGTATCTATTCATGGACTACCCGTGTAAGCGTTTATTTTAAGCAATAATGTTTCTTTGCTATTTTCAGGAAAAAGAAGGCGAACTTGAACATCAGAAAAAACTCAATGAACTGGAGCTACAGAAGGCCAAGGAATTAGCAGAAATCGAGGTTTGAGACAAGAGATCCGTTATTGTGGCAGTAATAGTGTTTTTTAAGTGATCCTGACTTAGCTATTCTTGATATTTTTGTCTACTTAGTCAAATAAGTTCGCTTCCATGGTAAAAGCCGTGAGTTCTGACGCAATCAAGAAGATTGCACGCTCTGGTCCCGAGTCGCAGGTAAGTTGAAAACAAGTTTCCTTTAATTCTGGAAGTATTTCTGATGGAAGACAGTAACATTCAGCTGATCCCCCTTTTAGATGTTATTTTATTGAAGTGATCCCCCTCAAAACTGTTGATAAATTTCGTGATCCCTCTCCCCCCCCCCCCCCCCCCC